ACATTTTTCACCAAAATAAAAAACATAATTTTCATGGAACCACAAATGACTCCAAATAGCTAAAGCAATCTTAAGAAAGAAAAAGAGGCATCACACTTTCTGATTTCAAACTATATTACAAAGCTATAGCAATCAAAATGGCATGGTATTGACACAAAAACAGACGCATAAGTCAATGAAATAGAATAGAACCAAGAAATACACCACACACACACACACGTATATCAATTAATTTACAACAAAGGAACCAAGAATATAAATAGGGAAAGTAAGATCTCTTCAATAAGTGGTGCTAGGAAAACCATATAGCCACATGCGTAAGAACAAAACTGAACCACTATCTTATAGCATACACAAAAATCAACTCAAAATGGATTAAAGACTTGAATATAAGACTTTTAACAATAAAACTCCTAGAAGAAAACACAAGCGGTAAGCTCCTTGACAATGGTATTGGTAGGTATTTTTTGGATTTGAAACCAAAAGCAAAAATATGATATAGTGGGACTACATCAAACTAAAAAGCTTCTGTAAAGGAAACTAATGACAAAATGAAAAGACAATCTACTGCATGGGAGAAAATATTTGCAAATCATGTATCTGATACAAGGTTAATAACCAAAATATATAAAGGATTCATGCAATTCAATAGCAAAAAAAAATTCAGATTAAAAAATTGGCAGATGGGGGTACTTGGCTGGCTCAGCACAGCATGCAATTCTTGATCTAGGGTTTGTGAGTTTAAACCCCATGTTGGGTGTAGAGCCTACTTTTAAAAATGGGCAGAGAAACTGAATAGACACTTTTCCAAAGACAACATATAAATAACAAATTGGTACATGAAAAGGTGCTTACCATCATTGATCAGCAGAAAATGCAAATCAAAACCACAATGAGCTATCACGTCATATCTGTCACAGTGGGTATCATCAAAAAGAAATTACAAGTGTTGGTGAGGGTGTGAAGAAAATGGAGCTCTTCTGTACTGTTGGTAGGAATGTAAATTGGTGCAGCCACTATGGAAAACAGTATGGAGGTGTATAGCCACATTCCTGCAGACTCTTAGCCAGGTATGGGTGATGAACAAGCAAGATCAAAGAAATGACCCAGAGACAGCAATTGAGACCTAGGTTTATTGAGGGAACTTAAGGACAGGGAGTCCAGGAGTGGTCAACCGAACAAAGCATCTGCTGCTAGAAATTCAATGCAGCAAGCTTTTATAGTGTAGCAATTATCCTAGCATTTCTCGGTAGCTTTGCCCCTCCTTGCATGACTAATGTTTCAAGGAGATAAAAGCCTGCCACCCGGACAAACATTCTGCATTACTGAATAGATATCCTAAATTGGCCAATCCAGGAGCCCTTGACCTGGAATGCTGAACAACACATTTTCTACATATCTTGCTTGTGGAAAAAAAACAGAAGATGCATGGGATCTATACATTCTCAAGATAATGATTAACAGGGGCATTCAGGGTATGCTTGTACAAATGAGCCATCTGGCCCTTAACATACAGGAGTTATATTAAAAATAGAACTACCATATAATCTAACAATCTCACTTATAGGTATTTATCCAAAGGAAATGAAAACAATACATTGAAGGGCTGTCTGCACTCGATGTACATTTCAGCATTGTTTACAATAGTAGAGATAGGGAAACAACCAAAGTGCCTCTCAGTGGTTGACTAGATAAGGATGTGGTATATACATATATACAATAAAATATTATCCAGCCATGAGAAAGATGGAAATCCTGCTGTTTGTAACATGGATGGACCTTGAGGGCATTATGTGAATTGAAATAAGCCAGACAGAGAAAGACAAATACTGCATGGTATCACTTATATGTTGAATCCTTAAAAAAATAAAAGTTACTACACTCACAGAAACAGAGAGTAGAAAAATGGTAGCCAGAACCTGGGGAGTAGGGAAAAATAGGGAAAGGTTTGTAAAAGGGTACAAACTTTGAGCTATAAGATGCATAAGTTCTGAGAATTTAATGGAAAACATGATGACTTCATTGACAACATTGCAATGTATAATTGAAATTTGCTAAGAGAACTTAAATGTTCTCCCCAAAAAATAAATATGTGAAATGATGGGCATGTTAATTAAATAGATGGTAGGAATACTTTCCATAATTATGTTATACACTTAAAATATGTTATAATTTTATATGTCAATTATACCTCATTGAAGCTGAAATTTTAAAAATAGTTATTGCCAATTAAAACATTCTATTCATTACTGACAAAGCCTAAGGCCATGTTTTCAGTAAGAGATTATTTTTCCTAAAACTGTAAAGTTGGCCCCAAATAGTTTTAAACATCTACTTAAATGAACAAATTATGAGTTAAACTTGAACAAATGGGTAATTATGGAGAAATAAAGAGGAAGAAGCTCTTTGAAACTTTATATTTCAGAAACTAAACATTAAACTCAAGGTACATAAACCTGTGTTCATTCAAAGTACCTTTAGCTTTGACAACAAAATCATAGCTATGTAAATGTTGCTATAGAAGAATCAAATTGAAACTGGAGAAAATAATAAGCTGATCAAGGGGAAGCCTGTGATTTAGTCCATCCAGATCTTCAGCTTAAATTCCTCAGAAAAAAAATCCTAAAAATAAGGGCTTAAAAACCTCAAAATGTCAGCAAAATGGTAGAGAATGGTGATACTCAAAAAACACTAAAAGACAAATTAAAAATTATATAAACCTCAGGTCTGGTGATTATGATAGTGGAGATGTCCTGCTGTACTAGGCCAACAATAGCACAGCTCCTAGCATTCTAGCTCCAGCATCATCAGTGCTGAGCCACTAACCATAGTTCTTTACTAAAACAGTAACTCCAGTATGGTTGGGTACTCTTTTGGTCTGTAAAGCTTCTGAGTATAACTTACAGGTTCTTCTTGAGATTTTGAGCTTCCTAATATCCTTTAATAAATTCTTTTCCTGCTAAAACAAATTAATCAATTAATCAACATTAAGTCAATTAATAAACCAACTTGTCCTCCAACCAGGGCGTCATGCCTGATTGAAGGGGCAACTTTTCCTAACAGACATACCCAGTAGGGGGCTTATTTTTACAATCTGTACCCCCAAATTTTCTCTTTTTTCCCCCTTAAGTAGGCTCCATGACCAGCGTGGAGCCCAATACAGGGCATGCACTCATGACCCTGAGATCAAGACTTGAGCTGAAATCAAATCAGATGCTTGACTGGGCCACCCAGGTGCTCCCAAAGTCGCCATTTCTAAATTCATTCTAAGTCTTTGTTAATGCCAGCTGTTGCTCTCAGTGTTTTTCCTATTTATAAGACTACATTTGATAGTGCAGGAGGGGTAGAGCTCTTGAGTTCAGCTTTCCTATGACTAACTCATTGAGGGATATTTCTGCCTTTCCATCTAGGATTCCTGAGATTTGTGTTAATAGATCCAGGCATGGATCTCAATGTGCATTACACAGGACACTCCTAAACTCCACTAAAGAGGTCTTCAAAAATCACTATCCCTTACCACATCCTTTAGCTGGCTCTGTGGCCCAGTTTTTAAGCATATAGACACTAAATGAGAAAATCTGGTTCAGAATCCTGCCTCCACAAAAACTATGTGTATAATATTAGACAACTTTCCAAACCCTTTTTTCTGAGCTTCAGTTTCCTCAACTGCAAAATCAGGACAATAAAGCATCTACCCTTGCAGGACTGTTGTGACGATTAAAGGGTAACGTGTATGAAGTGTCTGACATTTAAGTATTTGATAATATATTAACTCTCCTTTTTAAAAAATAATAAAAGACACTAATGCACATTAACGGTGAAATCTAATTGTTATTCTTGCACTAGCTGCAAGGAAACCCAGGAAATGGACAAACTATAATACAAAAAGGCTATAATGGAGTAAACATCTGGTACCATATGGACATTAAACATGATTCTTCTCCATTTAAGTTTATTGTTCTTTGAATGACCAAAGTACATTTTTAAATGTAGTCTGATGGGATGCCTGGGTGGCTCAGCAGTTGAGCCTCTGCCTTTGGTCCAAGGAGTGATCCCAGAGTCCTGGGATTGAGTCCCACATCACGCTGCCTGTGAGAATCCCGCTTCTCCCTCTGCCTGTATCTCTGCCTTTCTCTGTCTCTGTCTCTCATGAATACATAAAAAACTTTTAAAAAATAAATGTATTCTGAATATTACAGAACTATGAGAATTTGTTTCAAATATTATATATATCAGCATTTAGAAAAGACCTATTTTTAGTTGTATTATCTCTAAGTTTTAAAGTTATATCAAAACAGAGTTAAACTCATAAGCTCTAAATAAATAGTACTATTTGTCTTAGACATGAGCAGTTTAAATAGTCTGGAACAAGAATGACAGTAATAATTTTCATTCAGAATTTGCCATATGCCAAGAAGTGTTCTGGCATGAGACATGAATTACCACAAAAACTCCATGATGTAGATAATATTCCCACTTATAGAAAATGAAACTAAAGTATGAGGACTTCAGTAATTTGTGCAACTTGTAAATGGTAGAACTGGGATTTGAGCCCAGGAAATCTGGCTGTAAAATCAATATTCTTAAGTATCACTCTCAACTGCATAGTAAGATGCTTCTATTCCACTCCAAGTACTTGAAGTACTTCCAAAACTTATATAAATAGGTATATATTTAAATTATGCAAAAGAAAGTTGAATATTGTAACCTATTTTGTATTGCCATTAAATGGTACAATACTTAATGTGGACAGAAAATAAATTTTAAGCTATGTTAATTAGCCAAATATTAAAAATGAACTTAAGTGTAATAAAAATCTTATGAAATTTTTGGCTCACTACTAAAAATGTGACTAAATCTTAAAATAGCACAGACTTAGCCATCTTTATATGGTTTGAAGAAAAAGGAATTCTCACTCTTCATTTATTAATCTACATTTGGATTCCTTTTTATGAAGATTTAATTATTGTATTTATGTGGCCTTTTTCCTCTTGCTACAGATCATGTAAATGGACACTGCACAAGTCCAACGTCTCAGAGTTGCACTTCTGGAAAACGTCTATCCAGTGCTGATGTTTCAAAAGTAAATCGCTGGGGTCCTGGAAGACCACCATTTCGGAAAGCACAATCAGCTGCTTGCATGGAAATTTCTTTACCAGTCACAACAGAAGGTAAGTTAAACATGCGAATTTTTGTGGATACAATTAAAATTTGATATGCCATGAAAACAGGAGCTAGAGGACAATGGATGTAGGTCTTGTGTATTTAAAACTATAGTCAACCGCAAAAAAAAAAAAAAAACCTATAGTCAACCCTAGGCAATGAGTAACAGCCTGGTCAAGCTGGGGCCGTGACTCCAAATCCATTCCTTACTGTACCTTCTCCTTCATCACTAAAATCAGAATGGCTCTGCTTTTTGGTAAACAGCTCTTCTGTACAAAGAGAGGCCTATGCCTTAATCAGTTTTCTATACTACCAGCAGTAATTGAGAGCTTTCTTCCATCTCAATAGCGAGCTTTTTAGTGTCTCTACCTGTGGATAGTTATTTAATGTGTTGCAAGCCTAATTTCCTTAATTGTCAAGAGAATGTGACCAAGATAAAGGCAAGATCTTAGGATGCCTGGCTGGCTCAGTCAGTTGAGCATCTGTCTTCAGCTAGGGTCATGATCCCAGGGTCCTGGAACCCAGCTATGCCTCTGGCTCCCTGCTTGGCTACTCCTCTCCCCCTACCTGCCACTCCCCCTGCTTCTGTTTTGGGAAATAAATAGTCTTAAAAAAGAAAAGAAAAGAAAAAGGCAAGATCTTTTTTTTTTTATATAAATTAATTTTTATTGGTGTTCAATTTACCAACATACAGAATAACACCCAGTGCTCATCCCGTCAAGTGTACCCCTCAGTGCCCGTCACCCATTCACCCCCACCCCCCACCCTCCTCCCCCTCCACCACCCCTAGTTCATTTCCCAGAGTTAGAAGTCTTTATGTTCTGTCTCCCTTTCTGATATTTCTCACACATTTCTTCTCCCTTCCCTTATATTCCTTTTCGCTATTATTCATATTCCCCAAATGAATGAGAACATACACTGTTTGTCCTTCTCCGGTTACTGTGGCCAAGTTCAAAAAGGGTGTTGCCTGAGTTCTCCTCTGGGATTTTGATGGAATCTTGTCTCACATTTAGATCTTTCATCCATTTTGAGTTTATCTTTGTGTATGGTGCATGAGAGTGGTCCAGTTTCATTCTTCTGCATGTGGATGTCCAATTTTCCCAGCACCATTTATTGAAGAGACTGTCTTTCTTCTAGTGGATCGTCTTTCCTCCTTTATCGTATATTAGTTGAGCATAAAGTTCAGGGTCCACTTCTGGGTTCTCTGTTCTGTTCCATTGATCTATGTGTCTGTTTTTGTGCCAGTACCACACTGTCTTGATGAACACAGCTTTGTAGTACAACCTGAAATCTGGCATTGTGATGCCCCCAGATATGGTTTTCTTTTTTTAAAATTCCCCTGGCTGTTTGGGGTCTTTTCTGATTCCACACAAATCTTAAAATAATTTGTTCTAAGTCTCTGAAGAAAGTCCATGGTATTTTGATAGGGATTGCATTATACGTGTAAATTGCCCTGGGTAACATTGACATTTTCACAATATTAATTCTGCCAATCCATGAGCATGGAATATTTTTCCATCTCTTTGTGTCTTCCTCAATTTCTTTCAGAAGTGTTCTGTAGTTTTTAGGGTATATTTTGAGAACCATTTGAATGGTAAATGGTTCTCCAACCTTTTATTTTCAGGTTGTAGGTGTCCTTCTGTCTAAAATGAGTCTCTTGTAGACAGCAAATAGATGGGTCCTGTTTTTTTATCCAGTCTGAAACTCTGCGCCTTTTGATGGGGTCATTAAGCCCATTCACGTTCAGAGTTACTTGAACTTCTTCTTAAAGGGGAGTTTTAAGAGTCCCCCTTAAAATTTCTTGCAGAGCTGGTTTGGAGGTCACATATTCTTTCAGTTCCTGCCTGTCTTGGAAGCTCTTTATCTCTCCTTCCATTTTGAATGAGAGCCTTGCTGGATAAAGTATTCTTGGTTGCATGTTCTTCTCATTTAGGACCCTGAATATATCCTGCCAGCCCTTTCTGGCCTGCCAGGTCTCTGTGGAGAGGTCTGCTGTTACCCTAATATTCCTCCCCATGAAAGTCAGGGACTTCTTGTCTCTTGCTGCTTTAAGGATCTTCTCTTTATCTTTGGAATTTGCAAGCTTCACTATTAGATGTCGAGGTGATGAACGGTTTTTATTGATTTTAGGGGGGATCTCTCTATTTCCTGGATCTGAATGCCTGTTTCCCTTCCCAGATTGGGAAAGTTTTCAGCTAGGATTTGTTCAGATACATATTCTGGCCCTCTGTCCCTTTCGGCGCCCTCGGGAACCCCAATTAAACGTAGGTTTTTCTTCCTTAGAGTGTCGTTCGTTTCCCTTAATCTGTCTTCATGGTTCTTTAATTGTTTATCTCTTTTTTCCTCAGTTTCCCTCTTTGCCATTCACTTGTCTTCTATGTCACTCACTCGTTCTTCCACCTCGTTAACCCTCGTCGTTAGGACTTCTAGTTTGGATTGCATCTCATTCAATTGATTTTTAATTTCTGCCTGATTGGATCTAAATTCTGCAGTCATGAAGTCTCGTGAGGCCTTAATGCTTTTTTCTAGAGCCACCAGTAGCTGTATAATGGTGCTTCTGAATTGGCTTTCTGACATTGAAGTGTAATCCAGATTTTGTAACTCTTTGGGAAAGAGGGCTGTTTCTGATTCTTTCTTTTGAAGTGAGGTCTTCCTTCTAGTCATTTTGCTCAGTGCAGAGTGGCCAAAAACAAGTTGTATTGGAACACGGGGGAGTATCACTGGTCCGTCTAGCTGGTCTTCTGGGGGAGGGGCCTGCTGTGCTGATTTTCAGGTGTCAGCACTTGGGGGAGCTGCTCTGCCCCTGCCTGCTGCCGGGCTCAGCGGGGGTTGTTGACCCCGTGGGACCCAGGGAGGAACAGCAGCAGTTGCTATGGCAACTCTGGAAGCCTGGATTCAGTCTCCGCAGGAACTACGGGGCTCGGGGCTCTCGGCTCTCCGTCTGCAGGGCCTGGAGGCTCCGGGGCGGGGCCGCTGATCTGCTCAGCTCGGGGCAGGAGCGTCCTTGCTGTCCTGGGCCCTCCCGGCCTCTGCCTGTCCCGGGGGAGGCCGGATCCTGGGCTGTGTCCCGGCGCCCTGTGCTCCGGGGCCTGCGCTGTGGGATTCGCGCTCCCGCCCTGCAGCTCCCTCCCTGGAGCCGCTCCCGAGCCCCTCCGAGCTGCTCCGGTCGGTCCCTCGGTGCGCGCTGCAGCCCTTAGGGAGCTCGGCACACTCCCCTGCGCTCGCAGGTGTCTGTTAGTGTCCCCGGGAGCCCGAGGGCATCCCCGCTCTCCTGGGTCCTGCTCCAACTCCCTGCGAGCCCCTTTCCGCCCGCCCGGGAAGGTTGGTGCAGCTCCTGCTCCTCCGGGACGGGGCTCTCCTGTCCTGGGGACACTCGCCCCGGCCTCAGCCCGGCTCCTCGCGGGGCCCCTCCCCCTCGGAGGCCTTTTGTTCCTTTATTTCTTTTTCCCCGTCTTCCTACCTTGATAGAAGCGCGAACTCTTCTCACTGTAGCATTCCAGCTGGTCTCTCTTTACATCTCAGGCTGAATTCGTAGATTTTCAGGATGGTTTGAAGGTTATCTAGGTAACTTGGTGGGGACAGGTGATTTGGGGACCCTGCTCTTCCGCCATCTTGCCCCCCCCCCCAGAAAAAGGCAAGATCTTAAGTACTAAACTTTGAATATTCCTCTTCATGTTTTTAAAAGAATTAATTGCTTATTTATGGAATGAGTGTTGGAGCAGAGATTAAAGTATAAGAGCTCGAAGGCCAGAGATGGTTAGAGAGGGAGGAAAAAAAGGAATCTTGTAGCTTAGTTCTAACAGTCTTGCTGACAAAGAACTTTGGGGAAAGATTCAGGAAAAAATTATCTTAGAAGATTTTCTATGGTAATTCTATCCTATAAAGTATCTCCCCATTTATCACTTCTCAAACAATGTGGTAGTAATTTCCTCATTTACCACTTCCCAAAAAATTACAAAAAATAAAAAATTATACCATACTAAATCTGGTTCATGGACATGCAGATAATGTTATCTCTCACACAGGTGTATGAGTAACAAACTTGAATGTTGATGAACCACAAACAGAAAATCTTTTAAAGCATATTAGCTAGAAATTTTATAATAGAAGCAAAATGTAAAGGTTATAGAAGTAGCACTCTTAATCACTGGATTGAGAATTTTAAGTTTTAGACATTTCTGCCTCTAACTTGTACTGGATTCTGGGACAATTGCTTAACTCTATGTCTCTGTCTCCAAATCTACAAAATTATATAGATTATATTCAAGCTCCTTTGCATCTCTAAGTTTTATTACAAATAATTATCTTTACAAATTCTAAGGGATAAAAAGGGGAAATCAGGAATATAATATTTTGCTTTCTAGAAAAAGGCAAATCTAAGGAACTTATATTTAATCTCTTTTTATAAAAATGAGTCACACTTGTACCTATCAAGAAAGAAAAGGAGTGAATGCAGTGGTAAAAAGAATATGAGGAACTTGAACTTTGGAGCGATTATAAAAACAAAACATTCCTAATGGTAGTTAACTGAGGGGGGTGCATTTATACTTGTTGGAGTGTGCACATGTATGAGTGTTGATGAGCAGGAAAACTTTAAACCATCCTGCTTCCTTTGGGTGGCCTGAATCCCTCTCAGAAAGATTACCATTAACAATGAGAATGGCGCTGTCTACAGCTTCTCATTTGATCCTAGGCAAAGTTAGAACTGGATTTGGATTCAAGGTAGGTAGCCTGAAAGTAGTTCAGGGATACAGCATTTGCTCTTTAACCTTGGTAAATACTCCAATTTTTACGACTGTAGTTACTCCAAATATAGTGAAAACAAAAATTGTGTCAGGTATTCACCTGAACACATGGTGAAATGTATTCACCAAGAACATTTGTGAGTTTGTAAGTAGCCATAATGTTGTCAGTAGGTGGGAACTGCCAAGAAATCATCAGGAATATTTTCAACAGTTGATAGAAGGGAAGCATAATTAAAATGGTACCAGAAATTCTTATAACTTTGACTACTCAATTTTTTTCCAGATTAGAAAATTTCAACTAATTTGTGAAAATATAGGGAGAAAACATGGTACACTGGAACTCTGGAGACCCAAGTTCCAGCCCCAGCTCTGCCTAAGTTTATGATTTACATTTCTAGACTTCAGTCTCTTCATTATCAAAATAAGCTGGTGAACTGGACAAGCTGTCTTCCAGATTAGTCAACAAGGAATCAAATTCCACTTCCCCTTCATAATTTTGGTTTTCATGTACTAAATCTGACTTTACTTATTATAAAAATATACTAACACTTAATTTTTGTTTTTTTACACTACTATAGAATGCCGAGAAAATTCCTATAATCGTTCTAGGAGCTCTAGCATCTCCAGTATTGACAAAGATTCAAAAGAAGCAATTACAGCACTATACTTCATGGAGTCCTTTGCTCGGAAAAATGACCCTACAGTCTCCCCTTGTTTGTTTGTTGGAACTAGTCTGGGAATGGTGTTAATCATCTCCCTGAACCTACCTTCAGCAGATGATCAAAGATTTACAGAGCCAGTCATGGTATTGCCAAGTGGTAAGACTTTTATTTATTCCTTAATTGGTCCTTTTTCACATTTAGATATAAGATAATGTATAACATTAATTTGTATTGATCTGGAATAAAGATTGTAAGTATTCTGTATATTGGAAACTATTGAAAATTTCATAAATCATATATTATTCCAGCTCCTGTCATACAGCAAATTACCATTCCTTAGAATAAAATAATTATTTCTATAGTAGGAAACTGAAACTGCCCACCTAAACAATGACTTGGGGGAAAAGTTTTCTGAAAAATACTAAGGAAAAACTTAATACAAAAGTTAAAGTATTTAAAGAAGTATTTCTCCAAAGTTCCATGCCAGGTCAGAGACTATGAATGTTTTTTTATCATTCCTGAAGAACTCAGATTAATCTAAAAGCACTCTGACCTGACATGGCTTCCTAAAGTCCTTGATAACCTTCCCATCTTGTTTCAAAGGCATGCCACACAATTTCTTTCCTTTTAATCCTAGTGCCTAAAGAATTTGACATAAGTTATGCATACTGTTGCTAAAGCATATGTTATATTTTCTTCCTACTTGAATTATCTTTCCTTCCAAAGAGGAGGAGATGACTGATTCCTCATGCTCTTCCTTTGAATATTTTAAAACTTGTTCTTCTCAATAACTTATTTCGTATTTCCTATGTTTTTCAGATAGTTTTTAAGTAAAAAAAATAAAGAATTTTATTAGTATATAGGATAAGAAATTTTATTTTAAAAGAATACATATATAGAGAATGCTAGGTCACAGAGAATTATATTTTGTTAACTGGTGTGCTAAATTCTTATATATTTTTACTTATTCTAGGTAGAATATTCAGCTCTCTAATGTGGCAAACTTAGATAAATGTGTGTGTGTGTGTGTGTGTGTGTTAAACAAAAAATTGATTTTCTCACATTTCTGGAGACTAGAGGGCCAAGGTATCAGCAATTCTGGTTTCTTCTGAGGCCTCTGTCCTTGGCTTGTAGATAGCCAGTCTTACCATGTCCTCACCATGACTGTCCTTGTGTGCACGTACCACTGGTGTCTCCCTGTGTATCCTCATCTCTTCTTGGACACCAGTCAGTCTCGCTTAAGGCCCACTCTAACAACCTCCTTTTAATTCAATAATTTCTTTAAAGGGACTATCTTAAATATAGTCACCTTCTGAGTTACTAAGGTTTAGGCTTTCAACCTATGAATTTGGTGGGGACACAATTCAGCCCATAAAATGCATTATATTTTAAAAGTTAATCTGTTAGAGCCACTTTAATTGTAAACATACTTCATGATGAGAAAATATCTTTTATTACATTCCTAATTTTAAGGAACTATTCTTTTATACTGGTTGAGTTAGAGCCACATCAGTGAGGTAATAATTATTAAACATTAATTCAATCCACTATTTAACACAATAAATTGTTATCCATATTGGACACATAATATTTGCTAGGCATTCCTCATAAGTTTAAAGGTGAAAATCTAAATCCTGTGTACCCAAGTTTACAACCATATATGGAAGACAATTTTTTTAATTTAAATTCAGTTAGCTAGCATAGAGTGCATACTTCGTTTATGATGTAGTGTTCAGTAATTCATCAGTTACATATAACACCCAATGCTCATCATATCATGTCCTTATTAATGCCCATCACTCAATTACCCCATCCCCCCCATCCACCTTCCCTCCAGCAACTCTGTTTCCTATAGTTAAGAGTCTCTCATGGTTTTTCTCCTTGATGACTTTTCATTCAGTTTTTCCTCCCTGGAAGACAATTTTCTAAGAGATATTCTAACATACAAATATGGCTTTCTATGTCACAAACCTAGAAATGAACAGATATGGAACTAATTTAAGAGATCTCTCAATATTATGGGAAAGTCCTTTACCACTCTTAACAAACAGACATAGATTAAAAATGATGGCAAATTACAAAATAAGTAGAGATTTAACTTAATAATATGGTATCTGGTTAGTAAATATTTACAAAGCTTTTCCTTATCTATTTAAAGCTTTGTAATGGGAACCTGTCTTCTCCAGTTTTCTGTCATTATTCTCCTGTTTTTTAAAGTCTTTAGTTAATATCAGTATCAGCTCACCAATTGTAACAATATACACTAATACAAAGTATTAATAATAAAGGACAAAGGGAGCCTGTGGGAACTCTGTACTACCTTCTCAATTTTCTGTAAACCTAAAACTGCTCTAAAAAAAGTATTTTTAAAAAAGAGCTATATAAAAGAGTAAACTATGAAGCTAGGTTCAGATGTGTTTTATTAATAACCTTGGAAAAGAGAGAAAGCATAATTGTAAGATCCTAAGAGAGTACTATGAACAATAATATGCGTATAAATTGGACAACCCAAAAGAAATGGATAAATTACTAGAAACATAAAACCTACTAAGACTGAACCATGAAGAAATAAAAATCTGAACAGATCTATAAGAAGGAGATTGAATCAGCAATCAAAAACCTCTCAACAAAGAAAAGCCCACTTCTCTTTTTTAAGGAAACTTTTCATATTAATTTACTGTGGTTGTCTTGACAACAAACTCGATATGAAAATTTGAAGTGCACTAAGTCATTGAATTTTAGAGTGGAAAAGCACATTAAGATTATCCATTTCCAGTAGTTCTCCCTTTAGTCTGTATCAGAATCACTTAGAGGGTTTGTTACAACACAGATTATTGGTCCCCACCGCCAGAATTTTCAATTCAGTAGGTCTGGGGTAGAGTTTGAGAATTTGCATTTTTAACAAGCTCACAGGTGATGCTGATTCTACAAATGAACTTTACGCTGGGATGGAAAAAACTACAATCTGTTGGCTCCTGTGTAGGGAAAAACCTAGTGCTTCCTCCTTCTGTGTTTGTCCTGTGTGTCTCTTTTACTTTCATACTACTTCTACCCACAACACTTTCAACACCAGATGTATAGAGATTTTTTCCCCATAGCAAGAAATTCTTCACAACACTAGCTGGGTGTCCCAATTTAACTTGATTCTGACACTATCTGGAGATAACTATCAGATCCCACAAGTTAAGGGCTCAGCTCCATAAAACTGCCCCCTCTCCTTCCTTTAAACACCAATAGCAAGTCTAGTTTGTTACCTGTGCTTCTGACCCATCGGCTACAAATCTGGGGTTCTCATAACCCCTCCTTGGGTTCAATTAAGAGCTCACAGAACTCAGGAAAACTGTTTACTTACCATGTACCTGTTTGTTATAAAAGGATACAGATGAACATCCAGATGGAAGACATGAGTAGAATAAGGTATGTAGAAAAGAACACAGAATTTCCAAGCCTTCTCCAGAAGCGTCACTCCCCCTGCGCCTATTCACCAACCCAGAAGCTCTCAAAACCCCTTCCTTTAGAATTTTATGGAGGCCTTATTATATAGGCATGATTGACTAAATCAGTGACCACTGGTGATTGAATTCGTTCTCCAGCCTCCTCTCCTTCCTTCCCCAGAGGTGGGGAATGGAAAGGACTGAAAGTACCAACCCCCTAATCACAATGGTCCATCTGGCAACCAGCCCCATCCTTAGGTGAGGTCCCAAAGTCGCCTTATTAATATAATAAAAGACACCTGTATTGCCCCCTCATTTAGAAATTCCAAGAGTTTTAGGGACTCTATGTCAGACACAGAATAAAGACCAAATATATGTTTATTTATAAATCACAGTATTACACATTCAATTAAATCACAATTCTGGTTAAATTTAATTCTACCTACTTTATTTCTATACCTGTGTAGCTGAATATGGCTAGAGAAAAATATATAACCACAATAAATAGTCTCATTTTGAAATAAATCAACTAGGCTCCTATGCTGCTGGGTAATTATATTTACTGTTTTTCCCTAGTCCTCCCACCTACACTCTTGAACAATTATATAGTTTATTCACTCTCCTCAAACCTTCAATACTTCCTCTGCTGTTTTCAATGTCAGCTAATGACCACGTGTCCTCTTTCACTAAGAAAATTGAAACACACAGATAACTACTACCAACCTGCTTATATCTTCATGGTCTCTATATTCTCTCCAGTTACTATGACTGTGTAAGCTCTCAACTTGGCCAACCTCTCTACTGTACATTCAAGAAAGTCAATCCAGCAACTTTTCATCTGTTTCCTTTATATAATTATGTTATTATATCTATATTATTATACCTAATTATGTAATTATAATGATAATAGATACTGATCTTTCTGCTAGATCAGCAAACAAACATGCTGTTCTTTCTCCCATTAAGAGAGAAACACTTAGAGTGCCTAACTAGCTCAGTTGGTAGAGTATGTGACTCTTGATCTCAGGGTTGGGAAGTCAAGCCCTACGTTGGGTGTAGAGGTTACTTAAAAAATAAAATATTTAATAAATAAAAGTGAAAAACTCTCTCTTTAATGTATCCTTCTATAATGCTCCATTTCATTTCTCTTTCTCTAATGCAAAACTCCTCGAAATGTGTTATATTCACTATTTCCAATTTTATTCTCCCATTCTCTCATCTCTAATCAAGCTTTCTCCCATATCAATCAGTCAAAATCTCTACCTATGTCACCACTGACTTCGTGCTAGATCCAAAGGTCAGTTCTCGGACCACATCTTACTTGACATACCAGCACATATTACACAGTTTACTTCACTTGGATTCTAGAACAGTATATTCACCTACTTTTCTTCCTACCTTTCTAGCCATTCCTTCTCAGTCCACTTTGCTGGTTCCTTCTCATTTCACTGGGCTTAAAACATCAGAATGCCCCCAAACTGACTCAAACCTTTTTTATTTTCTATTTATATTCAAGGACAAAATGAAATCAACCAGCCTCATGACTTTAAATGCCATTGATAATCTGATGGGTCATATATTTGTATTTATAGTCTGGAACCATCTTGAAATTTCTGACATAGCTATAGAGTTACTTAAAATCCATTTAGAGGGCAGCCCAGGTGGCTCGAGCAGTTTAGTGCTGCCTTCAGCCCAGGGCGTGATCCTGGAGACCCGGGATCGAGTTCCACATCGGGCTCCCTGCATGGATTCTGCTTCTCCCTCTGCCTGCCTCTCTCTCTCTTAATCATTTAAAAAAAAATAAGAAAAAAATCCACTTAGATGTCTAATAAGCATCTCAAACTTAACATGTCCCAAACTGAGTTCCTGGTATTCCTTTCTTTTTCCTCGTATTCTTTCCCATATCTGTTAATGGCAGTTCCATCCTTCCAGTTTCTCAGGTCACATACATTAGAATCATCCTGGAACACTATGTTTCTTTCACACTCTAAGTCCAGTTTATTAGCAAATTCTGTTGGTTTGACCTTTATATTATCCTCAGATTCTGATAATTTTTTACTACTTCCTTTGTTACCACCTGATTGGAGGAAACCTCTATCCATTTCTTGCCTTGATTTATTGTACTAACCTATTAACTGTTCTCCCTTTGTCCAATCTTGATGCCCTTTAGGATATGGCCAGCAGGAAGAGTGATCCTGTTAAGTGCAAATTGAATTACATCACTCTATTCTCAAAACCTTCCTCATACCAAGTAAAATTCTAATGCTTTTGTCTTTATTTTTTTTCCATCATGCGATAGCTGTTCTTTTATTCCTCAACTCTCAGACTGAAGGGGCTAAACTCTGCTCTCCTACCTTCTTCACTTACCTTTCTAAGACATTTATAGGCTTCTTAGTTTGGGAGTGGATTTTAAAATACAACTGGGATGTTAAATCATCTAAACATTTATTTTAAATTTGATACATCTTAAGTAATTTAAATAGAGTACTTTCTAAGTGGAATGTATTTTTATTTATCATATTTTCTTTTTCAAGTGTCTGCTATATGTATACTCTTGAGGCATATCAGCCTGGGTTAATTCCCTTACTCTCTCTACCAGATGTTAGAGGACAAAGGAAAGGAAAGGCTACTTGGGCATTACTTAGGGGAAAGTTTGGTAATGTCCAACGGTCAATCTATCTCAAGTTACCTCCTAAGCTTTGTAGTATCCTGTCCTCTGGGACTGGTAAAAATACCTATAGGTAATAATCGGGCATGAATATTCAAACTTGGAGAATCCAGGTGAGTAAAAACTTCTTTTCCATATAAAGATGCATAAGCCTGCTTAAGAGCCAAAGAATTTTTTAATAGAATCAAAATTGCTAGCATGAACTCTATATGTTAAAATTTCATGAAATTTATTCTAGATGTTCAATTTCAGAAGAAGAAAAAACCATTTTCTAGTAAATGAGCCTAAGAAATAAGAAAATGGAATCAGATGGCATGATTTTTTTCAGTTGAACTTATTTCAATAAATGGAAATTGTAAATTTTCTAAAATGTGTTTTTTAAAAAGGGATGTTAAAGGGAGGAATATATGTATGGTAAAAGAATACTGGCTTAGAAATTAGGAAACATGAGTTCTAATCCAGGCTCAATCACTAACTTGTCATGTGACATGGCCCAAGTCTCATCATTTTTCTGGGTCTCCATTTTTTTATTAATAAAATGAAAGGATTTGACAAGTTGATATCTTAGGCCCCTTTTAGACCTAACATTCTATGATGCCAAATTGTTGCAAGTGATGAACTCGCAAATCTACTGATTTATGTATATATATTACTGCAATATTATGATACTATAGATATAAACTATTATTATAAAACATTTATTGCCCATAAATGAATAACAACTGTTTTAGAAAGAATTTCACATGCCAGTGATATGAAATTGTTTTTATAGGTACATTCCTCTCACTGAAAGGAGCTGTGCTAGCATTCTCCTGTATGGACCGAAATGGCGGATTAATGCAACCGCCATATGAAGTTTGGAGGGATCCAAACAACATAGATGAAAATGAAAAATCTTGGAGAAGGAAACTGGTCATGAACTGCCCCTCTCCATCCCAAGAAATAGGAGATCATCAGTATACAATAATCTGCTCAGAAAAACAAGCCAAAGTCTTCTCACTGCCTTCTCAGACTTGTCTTTATGTTCATAACATCACCGAGACATCTTTTATACTGCAAGCAGATGTGGTGGTCATGTGTAACAGTGCCTGCTTGGCATGCTTTTGTGCCAATGGGCATATCATGATAATGAGGTACTTGCCTTCTTTATAAATTATCTGGTAATCACAACAGTGTGACCAAGGTACAATTCTGAAAAGTATATGTGTAATGTGCAATCAAGAAGCAACCTAAGATCATTGCTTCATTATGTTTTGTGAATGTTTTATTGTTTGCTGATTTGAGGAGATTATGTGGTTTATACCTTTTTTATTTTTTGCTTTTGCTAAAAATGCTTTACATTGTGAATGAAAAATATATTTTAATTGATTTCAAGGAATCTAAGGAACAAGTGATTTTTCTTGTCATTAACACATTAATTCACAAACATTTATTGAACATGTTACCCCCAGATTCTATGGTAGGCATAAAAAATAAAAATGAGTAAACTCTAAGGAAAAGAAATGAACTTACTTTTTCTATGTCTTATAGTCCACACAAGAACTTTACATACAGAGTTTAATTTGGTCCTTAAGGTTTCTGTAGGACATAGGAAAACCAAGTATTATTTGCATCCTCCATTTTACATATGTTAATAAATTAAAGCTCAAATTTGCCTGAGGTTGAAAGTCTAGGAAAGAGTAAGACTAGCACTGAACAGTATATTAAAAGTCATAACTACAATTGAAATATAACATTGTGTAAGTTTAAGATATAAAACATGATTATTTGATATAGGTATATATTGTGAAGTTACTACCACAATAATGGTAGTTAACATATCTAACCTCAGTTACCACTTTTGTGTGTGTGGTGAGAACTTTTAAGATCTACTCTTCTAGCAACTTCAAGGATACAAGACAATATGGTTAACTATAAGTCACCATGCTGTACATTAGAACCCCAGAATTTAATAATCTTGTAACTGGAGGTTCATGACCTTTGACAACCTTATAATAAGGTATCAGGTGAGAGATTTCATTATACTGTTAGTAAATTAAAATTCATGAGACACAAAATTAATTACCTAATTATTTTATGAGTTCAACAAACACTTAATAAACATAATCTATGTAGAAGTCACTGTCATTCATTTTAATACTTCACCCGGTTCCAAAAATCACTGTTACAGTTAAGCATTATACTAGTCCTGTTATAAAATTAGTAAAAATGTAGTCGTGGTTCTTAAAAAGCTTACTATTAAATTAGGAGAGATAAGACAGATACACAAGTAATTATATATATTCCAATAGAGGAAATATAGGGTCGAATTTTCTAGACACAAACTAAGTCCTCAGAATTCAAAGTCATGACATAGTTGGTATATGTTATAAAAAAAGGAGATGTTGGGAGGAAAGTAAACTGAAGAGGTGGATGGCATAACTTATTGAGGACCTTTGATGGCAGGCTAGTGAGTTTGATGATAATCAGTTAGTAGCTAACCTGCTCCATTTATCCATTAGGAAATACACATGGAAGGAGAGCTTGAAATGGTTTTCTGAACTAAGTGTTAGCTATCTAGAAAGCAAAGTTGAAACAGATGTGAGGCATAATTGAGGGAAACTTGCTGAATGTAAAACTGATTGTGAAAGACAGTAGAGGTCATTAAATCTGAAGATTAGAAGAGAATTTAAAGGTTAAAATAATTTAACGAATTTGGATAATAATGATGTCATTAGCAGATAGGAAAGTCATGGGAATTTGGAAAAGCTGATAATGAGAAGTTTGAGAATGAGTGCTTGAAATTTCAAGTGCTTTTAAGCCATTCCCAAAGAAATTTGGCAAACAATTTAAGGTCTGGACTCCTAGAAAAATATGGAAGATCTCACTCTGAAAATCGTCTATGTAATAAATGCATTAGTGAAAGAAGCATTGCATGAGATCATCAAAGAAGATAGTATAGAAAGGAGAAATAGTCTTATCTGGGAACAAAAACTTGAGGATATCTCTATATTTATGTAGAAAAAAAAATCCAGCAGAAGGTATTGAGAAGTCATCAGAGAGATAGGAAAAGGACAAGAATAACTCATGAAAGGATAGAAGAAATCCAAATAAAAGATAGAAGACCACCAAGACAATGGTCAAGAGGTAGTCAGATATAGCAGAGAGGCCAAAGAATTTGAGTAGAAGAAAAAAGCAATATGCCTGGCAACTAACAGGATATTACTGATCCTTGAGAAAGCAAATCTTGAGAGCATGGTGGAGGCAAAAACTAAATTTTCAATGGAGTAGAGGCAGTAGTATAGATCAGGAGTTGACAAACTATCATCCACAGACCATGTCTTTCCTGCCCTCCACCTAATCTAATACTGTGCAGGCTGAGAGCTAAGAATAGATTTTACATTTTAAGATGTTGAAAAAAATCAGAGAATATTTCATAATATGTGAAAATTATATGAAATTCAACTTTCAGTTTCCATAAATAAAGTTTTTTTGGAACACAGCCACACTCGTTTGTTTACATAATGTCTAGCTGCTTTTGCATGGCAGGGCAGAGTGGATTAATTGTAGCAGACGCTATGACCTACAAAGCCTATATAATATTTACTATCTGGTGCTTTAATAAAAGTTTGCCAAAGAAAAAAACAAAAACAAACAAACAAAAAAGTTTGCCAACCCCTTCTATAGAGATTATTCTTTCAGGAAATTTTGTGGTAAAGAAAGATGCAAGACAGGGAAGTAGTTCAGTAGCAAAACTAGATTTTCAAGAGTGTTTTTACTGTTATATTTATTTTCTTTAGTAGGGGAGACATGAGTAGATTTGTAAGCCAAGAAAAAGTAGTTAGAGAAAGGTTTGAAAAAATAAAAACAATCATTTATTGTCTGCTCATTCTCATAAATATTTGTGGTTCTTTCTCTTCTTATCTGGTTTCTCTTTCTCAAATTGTTTTTTGGTATTTGTCATGAAAATCATTCCAGTCTTGCTTGAAAATGATGACTTGACTTCTAGAATGCCTTAGATTCGAGGGGGGAAAAAATGTGTACCACACCTTAGCTCCCCTAAGCTCTCATTTAGTCACTCTAGTTTTTTCCTTTTAATTAAAAGACATTAAACTGTTGTCACAATTGAGATTTTTAGTTTGATAGTGATTATTTACCGTTTTTGCAAATTTTTTGTATCTTGTTTTCTCAAATGATATTGGGTTATCTGAAAATTAAGTTCCATCTAAATAAATATGTGCTACCATCTGCATTTATGAGGTAAATTTCTTGAGAAATGAAGAATGATAGAATTTTAAAAAACAACAGGAGTTACAGCAATAGGAGAATTAAGATGCTATCTCTGATCTTCCTCTGTTCTTTGCAAAAGCTGCTTTAGATAATAATGGCTACTTTAATATTATGTCCTAGTGGAAAATCTTCATGTGTTCCTGAGGATCTCAAAAATATTTGAAAGGAAGTTATTTTGGAATGATTCTAGTAATATTGGGTGAGGCTAGGAAATAATATGTGGCATGAAGAACTGAATACTTCAAAGTGGCATTGCCAGGTGGTCATTCTCCTGAACTAAGGATTTTCTGGATCTTTCCAGATCCTATCAGAAATTAATTATACTAAGTCGATTCTTCTCAAGAGCTAGGTTTCTGATAGTTGGCAGGTAGCTAATGATTGCTTATCTGCCAATGTACCCAGATCTAGAAAATAGTAGAAAGAGATAGAAGAGGCTTATCTATAAATGAGTTCTCAAACTGGGTTGTGAAAGCCATTTTTAGTGAGAACCACTGTTAGTTACGTGACACTATTTCCTTATAAAGTGTCCCTCCACAGGGGGAAAACAAACAAACAAAAAAAAGAGCTTTCAGCTTTAAGAACACTTGATTCCTAGTCATTAACAATTGAATAACTCTTCCTTTTCCTATCTAAAGTAATTACACCATTTTTGTTTTCTTGGCGTACTTTTATTATGCTACATAAACAATGTAGCTTATCAGAAAAGTCCATTGGAATACCTTCCCCCACTACCATCCATTAATTTGTTTGTTTGTTTGTTTGTTTGTTTTCTACCCATTAATTTGACTGAATCTGTCACGGAAGTCTGTTTAACTGGGTTTGTTTTGGAATCATATCCTAAAGACCTTAATTACTTGAAATGCTGTAACATATAAATCTTTGAAATCCAGTATGTAATTTACCCTTACAGAACACCAGTTCATGCAAACCACATTTCAACCGCTCAATAACCATAAGTGGCTAATGGCTACCATATTGGACAGCATAGTGCTAGAACCTCATAGAAAACTTATTCCAATTGTGCAGATTTCAGGCCCCATTTTATATGAAAAAGTACTAGAGCTTATCTTGTAATTATAAACTTTCATAAGAGAAATAAGTATTCTTTTGTCAAGTTGCTGGTTTTATTATCTGGGATAATTTAAAATCATTATGCACATCAGAATCAGTTGAATGATTTCAAAGCTTGAGATTTAATGACAAGCCTATGTTCCTCCTTTTGGCATTAGAGGTGTGATTTAAAAGCAATGAGACAAAAAAAAAATAAAAGCAGTGAGACTTATTTTCCTCAGTAGTTTGCAAAACCAGCTCATGGCAGTATCCAAAGGGACATCCTGATGAATATTTATTTTTTTAAATATTTTTTTAATTTTTATTTATTTATGATAGTCACAGAGAGAGAGAGAGAGAGAGAGAGAGGCAGAGACATAGGCAGAGGGAGAAGCAGGCTCCATGCACCAGGAGCCCGATGTGGGATTCGATCCCGGGTCTCCAGGATAGCGCCCTGGGCCAAAGGCAGGCGCCAAACCGCTGCGCCACCCAGGGATCCCCTGATGAATATTTAAGCAAAATCATGGGCTACATCATTAGGATAAGACTATAGCCATTTGGAAAGACACTTGAGATGAGTGGTATTCATTAGGCTAGCAAATCCTGATCTATTACCTATAACTTATTCTCATTCCCTTATAACCTTAACCATGTTTATTTATTAATCATACCTTCAGTGCAGGTGATTTAAGTCATAGGTAATTTTCACATCCTGTGTATAGAGAATGTTGGAGGAATGGGGAGCAAAGCCTAATCCATTGCCAGGCACAGTGAGCTGAATCCATTCTACATCTCCATCAGTGCATAACCTCCTCAGACTTGGGAGTTCTGCCTTAAAAGGAGACAGTAGACCCAAGTCTGCAGTCAGACACTTTCTAGCTGTGGTGTTTCTGCCATAACCAAACACTATAACCATATTGTAGGAACCTGGGAAATGCTGCAAAAAAATATCCTGAAACTGCTGGCCACTGCTTTTTATCCAATCTTCAAGGATATCTGCTAAGTATCTGTGTGAATTAAGATAAAGGACTGGGCCCATGATTTTTTGTGTATATATGATTTTATGTGAAAGTCTAAGGGTTTTTTTTGTTGTTGTTGTTTTTGTTTTGTTTTGACCACTGAGACTTCAAGAGAATAAAAAGAAATAACCACAAAATAGTGGTATAAAAATAACTTTTCATGTAAGAATATGCTCACTTTACACAGAGAAATTAAAGCTTCTAACAACTTGAATATGAAATGTGGATTTGCTTTTTTCCATTCAGCTTACCTAGTCTTCGCCCAATGTTGGATGTTAATTATTTGCCACTGACAGACATGAGGATAGCACGGACATTTTGTTTTACCAATGAAGGCCAGGCATTATATCTCGTCTCTCCTACTGAAATTCAACGGTTAACATACAGCCAAGAGATGTGTGATAATCTACAGGTAGGTCAGGCACATTTATGAATAAACATTGGACATGGTTGTAAAAAGAGAATGAGAGAGATATCTAAAAGCTAAAATATTCCTGGGCCATGCAATAAATATGCCTTCCCTAGGATATGTTTTGAATATATGTTCATCATTGTGACCCTGTCAAGTTTAGTGTGGTCTAGGTAAACACAGAAAAAAATAAGAAGGAAAAAGGGGAAGTAAGAGGGAGAATGTGCAGCTCATACATATTAATGGTTGATTTTTTGATTTTTGTTTGTTCATTTTATTCTTTGTTTTTTTTGCCTATGGAGAAGCTGCTGTAAGATTATAAACTCTCTAAAAAAAGAAGGAAGGAAGGAAGGAAGGAAGGAAGGAAGGAAGGAAGGAAGGAAGGAAGGAAGGAAGGAAGGAGAAAGAAAGAAAGAAAGAAAGAAAGAAAGAAAGAAAGAAGAAAGAAAGAAAGAAAGAAAGAAAGAAAGAAAGAAAGAAAGAAAGAAGAAAGAAAGAATTATAAATTCTCTTTGTCCAAGGTGTGGAATATGCATGTATACACAAGAATTTTGTAAACAATTCAGGGAGCTCATGAGCCATACAAAAGAAATACATATCCTGTGGGTTTGAATTGGGCATTTATCTTTTACCATGGTAGTCAGCAGAACCTTGAAACAGAATCAATATAAAAGCATTTGAGAGGTTTAATTGGTTCAACCCCCTTATTTTACAAAAAAGAAAACTAAAACCCACTCGTTTTAATACAAAGTTTGAGAGCATAAGCTCTGAACTGTTTCAGTTGTATTTTGCCCATCTGTATAACTTTGGGCATTTTATTTAACCCACCTGTATGCTCTGTCTCGGAGCACTGGTGTGAGAATTAAGTGAGAACATTGAGCACGGTGCCTGGAACATAGTATATCTTAAAAATAAATAATAATGTTCTTACCATTATTCAACGAATACTTACTGAATTGTTACCATATACCTTGTACTTGGCTAGGCTATAAGAATACAGTGATAAGACAAGATTATAGTCCCTACCCACTAGTATTGGAGGGAGCTAAGTAAACAGACAAGCACAGCACTCTGTGGAGAAGAACACCTATGTGTGGCTGTGTCAGCACTGGGGAGACATTGAAGAGAGGCCCCTGGGTTGACAGAATAGCAGGAAGAGTAGAAGAAAAGGGTCGTAAGGGGTGAGTAGGAATTGTCCATAGGAAGGGATGGCTGGGAATGGAAAAGAAAATGATATTCCTGGCAAAATCCTGGGGGTTCAAGAACCTGCCAATAAAGTGCAGTTAGTGAAAAGAGGGGAGGGATAGTGCTGGAGAATTATTCCAGAGCAAATCTTAGAATACCTTGTAAGTGCCTAAGGAATCTGGCATTTTATTCCAAGGGCAACAGGAAGTTATTAAAAAGGTTTAGCAAATTTGTATATGAAAACTAATATTCTGGTTGCATATGGTTTTGAGGAATGAAGGAGAACAATTAGGAGTCTTTTTTTTTTTTTAAACAATTAAGGCCAAAAATAACAGTGGCTTAAAATAAGGCAGCCAGCAGTGAGAATGGAGAAAATTTAGCAGATTCTGTAGCTATAAAGTGTAGTCAGTTGGATTGCTACAGTTATTAGCTGTAGCAATGTGGGGAAAGGAAGGAAATTGGAATGGGCACTGCCATTTCCAAAGAGGAGGAAGAGGATGGAGAAAGTCAGGTTGCAGGTCAGACAAACTGATATTAGGTCACAGATCTCCTGACTTGGTTGAAGTTCCTTCCTCCACACTAGTGGTTCTCAAATTTTGGTCTGCTTCTGAAAGACCTAGAGAGCACATAACAAGTATAGGTAACCAGAGCACATCTATGTAGATTCTGATTCAGTATGTGTGGAATGAAGCCTAAGCAACTGTATTTCTAACAAGGTATTTTTCAGTCATTCTAAAGCACGTCAAGTATTTAAAAACAATTGTATCTCACTATGCAGTAGCGGCTTATTTTGACTCCTTTGTCTTGAGCTATTTCCTAGCTTTGTACATCATATTAACATAAATCCAAATGTCCTTCACATACTACCAAAGGCTTCCTTCTTTATAGGGTAGTCTGTGCTTGGTTCAGGAAAGGGTTAGGACAGGAAAGAGGCTATGGAATTGAAAAAGGATCCTAAATCCAGAGTCATGTGGAAAGTAATCCTAAGGTAAGTATATTAGTTTCTCATGTTTTCTAACTGTAAAGGGGAGAATAGGGCAGAAAAATGAAAATTTTCTGACGTCAGTTAAGGAGAAGGAAAGGAAAGGATGTGGAGAAAAATATGCCAGAAAGAAAACTGGGAACAAAGCAAAAATTGTCAGGAAAATCTTTTTCATTATGTGCTTTAACATGCTACAGTGTTCTCTTTTTTCTATCACTTTAATTTTAGTTACTCTAATGCTTTTTTGTTTGAATTTGATACAGGACATGCTAGGAGATTTGTTTATTCCCATAGAGACACCAGAAGCTCAAAACAGAGGCTTTCTCAAGGGACTGTTTGGCGGAAGTGGACAAACATTTGACAGAGAAGAGCTTTGTGAGTAAACTGATTATGAAACTGTACCACAAAATAGAAAACGTTTCTGTGCGTGTGTGTAACTTAATGTAGTATGTGGTCTCAAATTCTAGATTAGACTTTTTTACTTCTATACCATGGAAATTATATTTTTTACTAAATATAAATAAAATTGGTTACTTTATATTAGGAAATAGCTTAACAAGAACAGTACATGTGACTCATACAAATAATACATCATTTGCAAGTAGATCATACCTGCAAGGCAGGGTGAGGATATTCAATTACTAAATTCTGGGGGAAAAATGTTTATTAATCTGCTTGCCTTTAACCACTACTGGGAAACAGATTCTTTATTCAGAACACAAGGTTTATCAATGCTACAGAATAAATTACTTTAAAATTCTTCCAGTGAAACTCTGATGAGTAATCGGAAAGGAGTAGAAAGATACAAGGGAACATTTTCAGAATGAAGAATGTATTTCCCAGAATATCTCAGCCCTATTTGGTCTTGCAGATCAAAACTCTTTTTCTCTTGAACTTTTAACCAAGCAAAAGATCTAGGTGCCTCTATATGATGGAATATTATTCAGCCATAAACACAAATGAGGTTTGATATATGCTACAGCAGGGATGAAACTTCAAGACTTCACACTATGTCAAAGAAAGAAGACAAAAAGGGCCACATATTGTAGGATCCCATTTATATGAAATGTCCAGGAGAGGTAGATCCATAAACAGAAAAGAAATTTGTGGTTGCTAAGCCCTGGGGCAAGGAGGGGTGGGGGAGTGACTGCCAATGGGCAGAGTTTCTTTTTGGAGTAATGAAAATGTGTTAAGATACAACAGTGGTGATAGGTGCACAACTCTGTCAGCACACTAAAACCCCACTGAATTGTATATGCTATGTATATAAAGTGTGAATTATATCTCAAAAAGGCTCATTTAAAAAAAATACATTTTGATTCCATTCCTAGCATTATCTTCAAGAATGCTCACTAAATTTCTACCAAGATAGCTGTCTCAATAAAAACATCCCCAAGAGACAGAACATGGAAGACTCCTAACTCTGGGAAATGAACTAGGGGTGGTGGAGGGGGAGGAGGACGGGGGTGGGGGTGGCTGGGTGGCAGGCACTGAGGGGGGCATTTGATGGGGTGAGCACTGGGTGTTATTCTGTATGTTGGCAAATTGAACACCAATAAAAAATAAATTTATTATTTAAAAAATCCCCCAAAATTTATTAAAATTAAACTGAACTTTGTAAATGCTAGGAAAATTTTTATTCCTTTATAAAGTAACATAATTTCAACACATATATACTAACACCCCCCATGCATATATCCTGTCCTGTAGAATTCACTGCCCGTACACACACATCTTAAAACAGTAACAACTGGGGCCTTCCAAAGGGTGACAGCAAGATGAAGAGAGATGGTAAGAATGAAGACTCAGGCAGAAATTTAAACAGATGAACAGGCCTAATATTGGAATAGACCCTAATTTGGGTTAAATATGAGATGACATATCCTGTGAACATCCCAATTCAACAAAGTCAAGAAATCCAATGATGCCATGTTGCACGGAACCCACACACATACACATGAAGACATGCAATAACGATATGGTCACCTCACAGTCTCAGACTCTTTCATAGACATTCTTCATAGGTAAAAGCTAACATCTCCAAATACATACCTAGGATAGGACCAAATGTCTCTCTCTTGATGAGAATCATGACAATAGAATTTATGGTTAGAACTTTGGTGATAAACTTGTTCATAATTATTTGAGTTACTGACAATATGTCTTCAATTGCTATGGCTTGAATCCCTAGTTGGGGAAGCTTCAGCGGGAAGAGCCTCTCGCAGCCTTGCACAGCACATTCCCGGACCAGGTGGTATAGGAGGGATGAAAGGTGCTGCTGGAGGGGTGATGGGAGAGCTGACTCGTGCTCGGATCGCACTTGATGAGAGAGGACAGAGGCTAGGAGAGCTGGAGGAGAAAACTGCAGGCATGATGACCAGTGCGGAAGCATTTTCCAAACATGCACATGAGGTAAACTGCTTAATCTAGGCATCTTCATACAGTAATTACTTTAAACATTGGGGTTCTGCACAAGAAAGCCCATAGATACCACCGTAAGTAATCCTGTGTGAGAGAGCCAAGGTAACCTGGCTCTCATTATAAGTATTATAATTCCCCCAGTATTGGGGAGAAAAATGTTTTTAAATACTATGTTAATACTCCTTTACTGTAGGAGATAATTGAAAAGAAAATTATTCATTGGTTCTGATACATTGGGTCTATATTATGCATCTGTTACTAAAAAGGTGCTTAGGGACTTTACATGATCCTCCCATGCCTCCCCAACAAAGGCATGAGGGGCACTAGAAGCTGGAATCCACATACTACTTTTTGCTTCAATCATCAAAAATCAGCTGAGTCTTTACAGCTTATTTAAAAAAAATATTTTCATATGCCCTTTATTTCAAAAATAAGTTTTATAAATTTTGAGGTTTAGATATGCATGATTAGCTCAATATGAGCTTGCTTTGATCAGTACTTTTAAAGATTTTTAAAAACATTTTATCATGACTATTTTTTCTTTGCAGTTAATGTTGAAATATAAGGATAAGAAATGGTACCAATTCTAAACTTCTAAAGAAGCTGTGACTGCTTTGAGAAACCATTATTCAGGGAAACCAAATTTATTCCCAGCATCACTATTCAACTTGCTAGAAGCCAGTTTCTTCTACAAAATGTTCCATTACAGTCCATCTGAAGTTATCATAAGGGAAATTTATTAGAGACACTCCACTACCCAAAGGCTGGAACACTGGTTAAAATCCCGACATGGCTGAATTTGCCTTTTTCCAACGTGGAATGGAGCTATCATCTTGGCATGTCAATTGCTAAGGATTTACATTTAGGAACTACGGGGAGTCCTGATTTGAAAAAATCCTGTACAAACAAAAGCATTAATGCACTTAATGAAAAAAAAAATCTTTGCATGATAAATTAACATCTTAAGAGGAAAAGAAAAAAAGCATGTTGTGACAGAAGAAAAAAAGATTTATGGCAAACTATTTTTATAAATTGGGCCACACCTGACAATTTAAAAAATCTGCATTAGAAGATATCAGTGTATTTCAAGTACATTTGCCACACCCAACTGAAAAGGAAAACAAAACTAGAGTTTTCTTCTCATCTGTAACTTTCATTATCCTAGGACATTATTGAATTCGTATGGCAAGAGTCTGATTAATGTGTGTCACTCCATAATCTTTTACATCATCACAGTTATATCAGTCATAATCAAGTATTGCCAGGATAGTAAGGCGTTCCTAACACAGTTATTTCCATTTCTGTCACCTTCAGAATAAGTGGCTGTTTTTAATCATAAACTACAGGATTGTGACACCTCAAAGCATTTTTTCAGCCTGGCTTGTGCTCTGCAGGGGAGTTGACAATAAGTTTGGGGAAACTAGACTACAGGAACAGTGCAGTTAGCTTTGAGAACTGAGTTCACACACTCTGGTTTCTGTTTCTAAAGTGATCTATTTTTAATGCTTCATTTGTATCCTTGTCTGCCAACTACACAGTATATTACTGTTCCAGCCCAGTGGCATCATCAACCAAGGTGCTCCTGCAGCCTGACACTCACAGACCAAACTGGCCATTCTCTTGAGTATGATTCGGTAAAACCTCAGTTAATGTTTTGGGAAAGGGATTCTGATTTATTACATTTCCCATTAACAAGGGCTTTCATTAATAAATACATTTGGTTCAATACTTATTATTGAAAATCTTTATAAAATGTGCTGGTATTTTTGCTATCTTGGCCTTAGTCACCATTATGGACCACAGAAATACAGAGAGAGTTTAGTGACACAAAATCAATAATTTTGTCACTCATTAGTCTAAATGATACAAGCCACAAATTATGTCAGTAGATACTGAACATGTATTCCTTATTAAAAACTCTTTTAAAAATGAAATATGGAATATCCTTGACATGATAAAAGTTATCTATCACATAACAGCGAACTACTAGAGGCAAAAAAGATAAATAAAAACACTTGCTATCACTATTTAGCATGATCCTGGAAGCCAGAAGTCATAGAAAATGAAAATGTGCAGGTTCTAGGACTCATCCTGTAAATGTCATTCATTCAAAAAGAATCTTTTTAAAAAAATTAATGGTTTTGGCTTATTTAATTTTTATTATTCCAGGTCTAACTAGACCTGAATTTGTGTTTCCTATGAATTCACCATTTTTCCTGAAGTCCAGGTTATTTTAGTAGCCCCAAATAGTCTTTGTTTTTTTAGATTTTTAAATTTTTTTTGAAGTGGCACTTCCTTTAAATGTTCTCAGTAATTTTGAGAAGAGCAAAGATGATAGAGTCAGAAAATGTATACCAGGAAAGCATTTCTCAGAGTCCTTGAATTCTCCTAATTTCTTAAAAAATCTTCTCCATGAATCTCACCACTCCTGAGAAAAGGCTGAGTAACAAAACAAGACTTGGAAATACAAACATGATATATAAAATTATACAGTAAAAATATTTTAAAAATCTGAGATCAGAATTTAGAAAACATTAGTAGCCAAATTGTAGTACACTATTTGTACCTCGTATAGTACACTATAGTACCTATTTGTAACACAGTTCTCTGAACAAAACTTTATCATTTCCATAATTTAATGAACGTTTTTATAAAACTAAGGGAGCAAAATATTATTTTAAGAACAATGAAATTCAGTTCAAAGTGGCATAAAATTCAATGACTAACTCTAAAGCCCTCCATAAGATTTGATTTGATTTGTTCTACATCAGGGTTTTTCAACAGTTCACTATTCATAGAAAACTCTTTGTCATGGGGGACTGTCCTTTAAACTGCAGGATATTTAGCAACATCCCTGGCCTCTAATTCCTAGATGCCAGTAGCAACACCAGAAGAAAACCAAAAATGTCTCCAGCCATTGCTGAAATTGCTCCCAGTTGAGAGCCACTGTTCTACATTATGTAGAGACAGATTAAATGTGAATATGTAATACATGTCTTGCATAAAATTAAATATCATAAGTGCACATTATCTTAAGATAAATTATTATACTGAAAATTACATGTGTGGTTCATATGCAATAAAATGCTATTTTGGAGAAAGCAGATTTAAATCAGTGAAAAATGACAATTACAGAATATTTTAAAGCATACAGAGAAAACACCAAAAAGAACATAGCATTTCATAGAAGTGCTTAAAACTCTGGCTCTAATGAATAGATCAAATGTTTAGAACCAGCACACCAATTGGAAGAAAACAGGTGCTTCTGAAAAGCTTGAAAAGAATAAATTCTTTTAAGTAGTTTAAATACGTCTTTCAATATTGTTTTTACAGACCCTTTCTTAATACAAGGATAATTTCATCTCCCAAACTCCTGATTAGTGGAATACAAATCGATGAGGTTTTACTGTATCAGAATTATTTTTAAAGTTCAAAGAGACAGCAATTACAAGAACCTTATGTGGATGTCATTATTCTCTTTGAACATTCCTTTCTGCTGCACTGACCTTAGCATGCTCACACGACATCACAACCACCACCACCATCTTATCATTATCATCTTTCGAAGATGATCCATATAACTCTTTATATCTCTCTTCTCTACTATTTAAATGTCTTGCCTCTATCTTGGAACATAAGAAAAATACTCCTAGTAACTTGGACAATGATAGAGAAAGTGACTCTGATACTTAGTTGTCATCAAAATTACATTATGTCTACTATGGTGGCATCAGAAGATAAGGCTTACAAACCAGTTTCCAAGTTGACCATCTAGGACTCCCTCCAGGGATAAGCCCTTCTTAGTATTCCAGGAAGAAATGGGTCTTTGTGATTTATTCACCAATGAGAAGCTAGAAGTGTTTGTTTTCCTGGTTCTAATCATGTGAGCAATAATCCCTTCCATGAAGTCATCCATTAACCTTGGTGTTTGGAGGGAAGGATGATGGATTTATCCTTTATTTTGATCCCTAAAAAGCAGTACGGACTTTGCTTCCTCCACTTGAGACTCAGACTTAGTGCCCCAGTCACCATTGGAGTCATCACCTAACTTTGGAATGATAGTGACAGAACTGAGAAAGATGTTTTCTGATAATTTAGTTGTAGAGACAATTTTTCAAATCTTTTATATAGCCCTGGAGCGATTCTCAAGTTAATAAATCAGAATCCAAGTTTCTATTCCTTAAAGATTTTAAGGGATTATAAAAGAAAAAACACTCGTGTCCAATTTTAAATGTACCATCTATCTGTTATCTGCATCAAGGGATCAACAAAGCTTTGAGAAAGAGAGAGAGATAATGCCCAAGATTAATTGAAGATGATGAAGATGAGCTCTTTGAAATACTTGGTTATAGAATGTTTGACAGAAGGGAAAAATGAAGCTGGTCCAGAAGAGTAAGCTATAAATCCTCTCCTTGGTTCAGGATCATTAGGACAATCCAGGAGTATATCTGTGATTACAGTCTGGCCCTATGGAAAGACATTATAACTTGACCACTTTCTTTGAGAAGGCGATGCCAAAAGGTCTCAGACATTTCTAGCAGGCCTTGCTCTCTGCATCAGGAGAAAACTGGTTAACCTTCACAGATTCCTCACCTTTGTCCTCTGTAACACTAACCCCACTACTGACCACATACTCTTTCACATACACACTGCTCCACGTGCCAGAAATACTTGCCAGTAAGTCATGTATTCTGGATGGCACCATTCCAGGGAGTATGGTTGTTGTGCAGCGCGTGTACATATTTGTATACAACATAGCCCTAAAGGACAAAATACAGAAGATAAGGTCTGACTTTGGAAAGTAAAAAGAAGTGCCAATTTGGTGCAAGAGGGTTGGGATGGGGAGGGACATCGGAGCCAGAGTTAAGTCGAAGAGGTTTTGGTGAGAAACCAGAGGCACAGATGGCTGCTTTTATTTATGTATTTATGTAGGAACCTGATTCTCAACCTTGGTTGTACATAAGAATCACCTAAGGAGCTTTTCAAATTCCTATTATATCAAAATTTCTTGGAGTGGGTACCAAATTGGAGTATTTCTGAAAGCCTCCAATGTGGTTCCAGTGTCAGCCAAGGCTGACAAACACAGCTTTGCAAGCCCCACTTCTGAGGGGTCTGGAAGGCAAGATGCAAGAGACAGTGTTGTCTTCTGGATTGAGAATTCTTGTGTTCCAACCCAAAACAAATGATCTGTGCAAATTTCTGACCAGGCAGTGCCCCACTGACTCTTAACAATTCTGTCTTTGTGATTTTCTCCCACGTGACTTGGCCATTATTCCAATTCAAACATCTGGGTTTTAATTGTCTTATACATGTGACATCACAAGACACCAGGATATAAGAAATTTAAGTGTGTAAAGTTAAGTGGAAAACTAAATCTTAATAGTTGGATAGTGGAAATTAAAACAATCATTAAATCAGGCCCAACTTTATTACTCATTCTTCATTTGGAGGAGACATGGGTACTAGGTACCTGTTCTGCCATAGTATATTTTATTAGACTTGATCTTAGCAGGAGAGAAGAACAGCAGTTCCTTTTTGATTATTGTCTTAGCTCCCAGGGCCACTTGGATTTATTTTCTTAGTTATTAGGCATGTGTTTAAAGGGAGAAGAGTGTCTGTAACTCACTATCTGGC